AGGGGATGCTTGGGGTGAGGGGAGCAGGAGAAGGGCAATCACAGGTAGGGGATGCCACATGCAAGTGCATGCAGACACATGGACATGGCAGCCAGGCATCGTGGTAGCGATCAGCTCCCACAGCTAAGTCAATGTGGGGGGGCATAGGCAAGGTGTGAGGGGGCAGGGACACATAGGTGATGTGCCAGCGGGGTGGGGCATGTGCCCCCTAAGATTTGTGTACCCACAGCAGGCACAGGACTACAGCCTGGTTGAACTGGCATGGGCAGGAGTTGCCTCCATGGCCCAGCGGGTGGGACCCAGCGTGGGAGGGTGGAACAGGGCAGCAAGACTCATTGCTGCTGCTGTTGCTGCCACAAACCCTCCACCAGCCATGCTGCCAGCAGTGTGAGGAGTAATGTGTGGTTGGGGCTGCATTGCCCTGACATCCTCCTGCCACCAGCCACTCCTGTGTTCAGCCACTGCTCTATCCAGGAGGGGACATGGGGAGAGGGGCAGCACAGGCAACCTGAGGGGAGTGGTAGTGGCAGCTGGACCATGGTAGTGGGGTAGAGCAATGGCCCAGCACATGAGCAGGTGGCAGCAGGAGGAGGTGAGGGCATCACTCCCACTCACCACCCCACCTCTGATCTGTTACTCCTTGCACTGCTGGCAGTGCGGCAGTCCCAGTGGCAGCGACAATAAGTCTCACTGTCCTGCTCTGCCCTCATGTGCTGGCAGCTCCTGCCTGTGCCAGTCTGGCCAGGCTGCAGCCCCATGCCCCGCTGTGGGCACACAAATCTAGGAGGGGACATGCTGCCCCCCTTACCCCTCTAACAAGTTGCCTATGACATTGCCTATGGTCAGGCATCCCACCCTGTCCTACATGCACCCCCCCACCGGGGGGCAGCAAGTTGGGAGAGGCAGCAGTGGGGCTGGGGGGATTCAGGGGCTGTGCTTTGGGAGCAAGGAGCACTGATGGGGCCAGGAGGCTGTGGGCTGGGAGTGAGGGGCACCAGCATATCAGGGCTGCTCAGTGCCACAAAGCAGCGGCAGGGGAGAGAGGGGGGAGGGGACAGCTGCAGCTGGACCCACATCCTGGCAAGCGAAGGGGGCAAAGAGAGCTCTGATTTTCCATGATAAAAAAAAGAAAACCAGAAGCAAATGCTAAAGTGTATAGATATTTAGAAGTCATTGCATTATGATGATGAAGGTAAGCTTCCAAATTGCTTTAAAATTGCAAATACATCAATAAAACATGTTGCAGGGGTTTAGGTTGTAGCCGTGTTGGTCTAAGGATATAGGCAGACAAGGTTCCTTGGGTGAATTTGATATCTTTTATTAGACCAACCCAAATGGCTGGAGAATAGTTATTAAGCAAGCTTTCGGGTTCAAAAACCCTTCGTCAGGCTCAGGAAGCTGCAGCAGTTGGTGTGTGCTCTTCTGGAATGAAAAGTAAAGAAGCCAGGGGCTGGGCTGGGCTGGGCTGGGGAGTCAGTTGCCAGGCAGATTATAATGTCTCAAAAATCCAATGTCTATGTTTAGTCCCTGATCTCTAGTATCCAGCAGGTTGATGAAATGGAGCTCATAGGCTCGTCTCTGAGCAGGAGTTCCTGTTATTGGCACTATATGAGTTCACACAGAGTCAGGATTTGACCTAAAGTCTTGAAGAGAAGATCAATCTGTCTGAGAAAAACTAGAAATGTAGTGCATAAAAGCCTTGAAAGCCTTTTCAAATCTAATTTACAATTGTGCTTTAGGTACTGTAGGTGGTTTGTTGAGTCAGAACATCCTGCATTCTTTCCCACCCTGTGTTATTGTAGAAACTGAGGTTTGTGCTGCTTGCAATCCAGGCAGATAATTTATAGATTTTTCCAATATCAAGCCTAAATAAAGTTCAGGAGTTTTTCTCCAGAATGTCCATTAAGCAAACTTACACTAGCTACATTAAAACTATTTCACAGTGCAACACACACATTTATACAAGTTAAACAAAAGTCAAAGGGATTTGGAAGCTGCAGGCTGAAAGAAGCAGAGGAGAGAAAAAGGGAAAATGTGAGTATTGATGCTCAGAAGGTGTTTGGATGATTTGCTTTAACAGCCCCTTCCTCCAGTCACTTTGAGAGAAAATATATTGGATTTTGCAGGCCAAAAAGAGAAAAGTAGAAGACATTTATAAAAACAAATGCTTAGAGTGGAAATGATTTTCAACCTTATGCCTTTCAGAACACTGACTCCACAATTATTTGCTAAATGGCAATTTTAGGGCATTTATTGTATTTATTTCAATATGAGTAATGCATTATAGTATGATCAGGCACAATGATGACTAACGTGAAAATAAGGACTATGCATATTATAATCATCACTGGCATAAAAACTGCATACTGTATATTTTAGCACAGACCCTTTGCAAACTTAAATTTCTACCAGTACTGCCAAGCTATACAGTATGCCAGATCCATTCAGACATATTCAGATCCCTGAAGGACATTGAAAGAAACACTACATACTCTGACCTCTGACTCATAACAACCTCTCTCTACCAGAGAAAAAGGCCATAGGATCTCTAAGATCTAACCACCAAATAGTAATACAACCAGCAGATAAAGGAGGAGCCATAGTCATCCTAAACCGTGAGGATTACATAAAGGAAGCCAACAGACAGCTCTCTGACACCACCTACTACAAAGAACTACAAGAAGATCCTACTCCCCTTTTCACCAAAAAACTCAACAATACCATCAAATCATTTCCACCAAGATTACAAGAAAAACTACAGACCTTGATCCCCCCGCTACCTAACCCAGGGACTTTTTACATGCTCCCTAAAATCCACAAACAAGGGAACCCTGGCAGACCTATCATATCCAACCATGGGACCCTAACTGAGGAAATATCAGGTTTTGTTGAATCCATCCTAAAACCGCTTGTCACCCACAGAGCAAGTTTTGTCCAAGACACCACAGACTTGCTACGGAAACTTAAAAACATAGACCACCTTCCCAGCAACACACTCCTAGCCACCATGGATGTTACCAGCCTATACACCAACATCCCACACCAGGATGGCATCCATGCCTGCCTTACATATCTACAGGAACAAGATTACAACCCAGAATACAGACCCAAAGATATCACTGAGCTTATACACTTCATCCTCACACACAACAATTTCACTTTTAATAATCAACACTTCCTCCAGATGATGGGAACAGCTATGGGCACTAAAATGGCCCCACAGTATGCCAACCTTTTTACCTTTTTTTTTTTTTTACACACCAAAAAAGCAGTGATATACAGCCAAGCCCTCAGATACCACCGCATCTGTACTGAAGAGATCACCCGGGATTGCCACCTCACCAATCTTAAAAAGGCTTTCACCCAGCAAGGACACTCCTCCAGAGAGGTAGATCGCACGTTTGAAAGAGCCACCTGGATACCACGTGAAGAACTGCTGCAGTACAGAAGAAAAACACCCACAAATCGCACACCGCTGGTTATGACGTATCACTCCTCCCTTGAACCTGTATGGAAAATCCTCAAAAAATTGCAACCCATATTAGAAAAAGACCCTATTCTTAAAAAGATCTTCCCAGAGCCACCCATCCTAGCCTTCAGACAAGCACCGAACCTCGCCAACCTCATCACCAGAAGCATTGTTCCAGAACCCCAGAACACACCAAAAGGATCCAGACCGTGCCATGACAAGAAATGCAAAACCTGCCCCCACATCTCCACCACCCCCACTATTACTACACCCCACAACAGAGCCATCAGCATCCCAGGATCTTACAGCTGCACCTCCAGGAATGTAGTATACCTCATCCAATGCACCAAATGCCCTGATGGAAGATATGTAGGAGAGACCAGACAACAACTGCGCACCAGAATGAATGCACACCGGAAATCCATCAAAGACAGAAACACCCAATTACCGGTGGGGGCACATTTCTCACAGGAGGGCCACTCTCTCTCCAATCTCTCAGTCCTGACCCTAAAGGGAAATTTATAAAACACATCCCAGAGACGAGCCTATGAGCTCCATTTCATCAACCTGCTGGATACTAGAGATCAGGGACTAAACATAGACATTGGATTTTTGACACATTATAATCTGCCTGGCAACTGACTCCCCAGCCCAGCCCAGCCCCTGTCATCCCATCCAGGAAGAGCACACACCGACTGCTGAAGCTTCCTGAGCCTGACGAAGGGTTTTTGAACCCGAAAGCTTGCTTAATAACTATTCTCCAACCATTTGGGTTGGTCTAATAAAAGATATCAAATTCACCCAAGGAACCTTGTCTGTCAATAAAACATTGCATTCAACTGATACCTGTGTATACATAGCGGCCTTTCATTTTAATCACGAAAAAACAGTGTTGCGGGGTTGTAATCAGAGAATTTCGGGCGTTTAAATAGAGAAAACCGGGACCCTGATTCACCACTTTAGAAACTGTGTGATCGAGTGACTAGTTTTCGTTTGAAGTCAGTCGAGGCTATTCACGTGCCCGGAGCTGCAGCCGCCGACGTGTTTGCAGAATCGGGGCCTGCACCCGCCCCCTCCTCGCTCGGCCTGTAACAGGCTTGTGCGATTCCGCGGAGCCTTGTCCCAGCGACGGACACTATCACTGGCCTCCACAGCTACCATGCCATTTCAGATGAGTTTGAGGCTAGTGCAGATAGAAATGTATGATTTAAAGGAGCGAAAGCAGCGGTGGCAGTCGAGCTGACAGTCACGTAATCAGGACAGGCAATGCAGTGCAGTACTGACACCATCGCGATTGTGGACGCGGGGTCAGTGGCGGGAGATAAGGCCGAGGCGCCGCGCGGGGCCGGAGCGCAGGAGAACACGTGCGCGAAGCCGCGCGTCCCTCGTTGCCATGGTCCCCGCCGCTTCCGGCGCGTTGGCGGCGGCGGGGGGGGGGGGGGCCCGAC